ATTGTATAATTTTATTATTTTTTTATTATTTTTTTTACTGAATTTTGAATTTTTTAATTTATCTATTTATTTTTTATTTCGTGACCCGCTGGGTCTCGGGTCGTACCGACGGGTCGGCGGGCCAACGATCCAACGGCCATATTAATTCTTTTTTTTTTATTTCTTTTTTAAATTCTAACCGTTGGGCCCGTACTTGAACCGGCCAGACCCGTGGCCCAGGAGGCTTCAACGGTAACTCGGTATGGGCAGGGCGCGGGGTGTCTGACAGGTTGCCGGGTCGGTCCGGTTCGGTCCGGTTGACCTAGCCCGACCCGGTGAATATAATATTAATAAAAAAAAATTTGAAAACCGTTGCCGGCGGTCGGCCCGTGGCCCGACCTGGATTGGACCGGACCGCCGGTACAAAAAAAAAAAAGTTTTGAACCTTGACCGAACCGCGGCACTTCGTCCCGCAACCGTGTCTACCTATAAGAATTAAATGACATATTGCGAACAATAAATTTAATAAATTTATTGAAACACCCATAATAGCATGATAGGAGTATATGATTAGACTAATAAAAAATGTTTTCCTAGAGTAAATACAAGCATGAAATTTCTTCATGTTGCATCACATGTGTAGCGAGCCACTAGTAAAGTTGCAATATTCTGTAAAGAAAAAGAACAAATAAAATTAGCGGAAGTTCAGTTAAAGGAAATTAAATAACATGAGCTTATAATTAAATCAAACATTTAATCTTTTCTCTGCAGGTCAAACTATTAAGATCCTTCTGAACAATTGGGGCCAAATTAGGAGACAAGATGATTTGGCAAGGGCATATGACCTTGAAGGAGGTAATGGCTGAGCTTTTATTACCCTTGTTCATGGCCGAAATTATGAGCTTAAAAATGAGTTTTAAAGAGAGATAACGAGGCATGCTTAGACTTGGTTTAAATTGAGTAGATTTTGAGGTGTATATGAATTGTTTGGCCGTGTTGCTGACTCAATATTTGTTGAGCTATATGGGTGCCTATCATGCTGAAATTATGTGAATATCTCAGAGTTTATACTTCAGTTTTTAAAGCCTATATATGTTTATTGTTTGAGAGTTGAAGAAAAGAGAAGAAATGAGGGGCATGTTGTTGTGTTGTTTGGCCGTGTGTGCCTTGATCCTTGCTGAGCCTTTTTATGTGATCCTCATGCTGTTTATTTATGTTATTTTTCAGAGTTTTAAAGTTTTATTTTGGTGGCCTTTGGATTGTGTTTAAAGTTTTGGAGAGAAAGATGGAAAATGAAAGAGAGCTTGCATGATTCCTTAGCCTCTTTTGTTGTAATTTTCTGAGATATTTTCATGTGTTTTAGCACGCTGTTGTGGTGTTATTTTTAGACCATATACCTCAGCTTTTGTGGCCTTTAATCCCTCTACATCTTGATAAACGGGAGTTGAGAGGACTCTTGGAGTGCCACGTACACTACAACATAAATAGCTTTAGCTACCACAAAAAAAGTAGTACATAAAAGCCACAAAATGTTACTATAGGCAATAGGTAACAGAATTATTGGCGTTGCAGTTGTTTGTGCTACCTAAAGTGAAAGGTAATACGTTTGGTAGTTTTTGATAACACTTATGTTATGTGTTTCATTAAGTAGCAAATTGCAACAATTTGAAGTAGCATAAGCAAGATGTTGCCTGTAACTTTTAGGTAACACTTTCCATCCAATGTAACACTCTATTTTATGCACTTTTTATTAGAACGTAACACTTTTTCATAGTTGTATCACTATAGTTTTTATTTTGTGTTACTTTTCTTTTTTTTTTTTGCCGAAACGATAGAGACTTTATATAACAAACGCACAAATGTGCAAAGATACAACTTGGAACGCAGCCCAAAGCTGAATAAAATGGGAGGACAGGTCTGACGACCGCCTAGAATCCCGATACTAGCAACGCTAGAAACCAAAAGAAGACACTCGAGACAACCACACAATAACTACACAGAAAATCTACAACTAAAACGCTCCCCACAGGAGAATAGAGACAAGAGCTGCTCCCAACAGGAGAATAAATTTGCTCCCTCTCACACTGAGGCCAACGGCCCAAACCAAAAAAACAAAACAAACACTCAGGTAAAATACCCAGACCTAAAACACAACCTATCACAGACTCAAACGAACCAAATAAAACAAAGAGAAAAAAGAGCCCTTCCGCAGCTAATCGAACAGACCAAGCCAGCAGCGAACAGTCGTTGACGAAGAAGAAGCCAAGTCCAAGGAGCCACTTCCGAAACTGCCATAAGGCCTATACAAAAGCCAATCCCGAACACGAACTACTAATCAAAAACGACCCGACACCAACCAGAGGAACACGACGGAGCCAGCCCTCACACCAGTCCCTACCAATCTCAACTAACACCACTAGTAGAGTTCGAGAGGAACCGCTCCCCCACCGCCTAACACCACTAGCCGAACGGAGAAGAGAGAGGGTGGCCCGGCTCCTCAACACCGGCCTCCCCAACCATGATGAACCTCAGCACCTAGAGCAACGCTCCGCCCAGAGCAATACAACCTCGCCCATAACAACCACAACCCGCTGGCAACTAGAGTTCGAACCGACGGCAAGCCGAAGCCTACCAGAAAGAACCCCAACAACCTCAATCTACCACCAACACAGCCAATAGACGGAAAATACCTCAGAGGCGGCCCAAGAAGCTGAATTCGATCTCAGTGAAGGAGTCCGATGAGAAGATGCAGTTCCTCGCACTGACCGCCGCTACGAGCTTCATCGCAGCTGCCGCCGCAACGAGCTTCATCGCCGCTGCCAGGGGCTCCGACCCATCCACAGACCCACTTCCCTTCCGATACACCCCCCAGACCTCAGATTCGGCGACCAATCCACAAATCACACCACAAGAGGCGGAGTTGGGAATAGGCGGTCGCGACAAATCTTCCGCCGTTGGAGGCGCCGGAGACGAGATGGCTTCTGGGATGGGCCGAGCAATTGGGGACGACCACCGGCCTGATTCCGCCGCCGCTGAGGAAGGCCGAAAGAGGGAGAATTAGAGAGTCGCCGGAGGTAGGGTTTGGTCGATTTGGGTTTTGTCGGGAGAGCTTTTTTTTACATCACCTTTGTGTTACTTTTCAAGTTACTAATTATTATTGCTAAAGCAATTTTAAATGTTTGGTACCACTTTAAATCATTTATAATTAAACGAATAATGAAAAATAAATATTAAAATAAATTTAATTTATTAAATCTATAATATGACAATTTACATAAGACTTGCTAGAATACTCTCTACAATCAAAATCTAAAACAAAAACATGAACACACATAATGGTTCATGAAATTATAATAAGTCTAGATGACTTCATAATAAGTATCTTCACTGTCGCCCTAAGCTTCATACTTCAATGGTCTAACCTGTGTTGAGTTAAGAAACAAATGGATGCGAAGTTGCCCCATCATGTAACACGTACTTTGTACTTTGTCTGCAACTGTTGAAAAAGAATTTTCGAAATGAGTAATAGAATGTATTTGACGAAAAACATGTAAATGAACACTAAATGGAAAAATTAAGTGCAACTAAACTCATAAAATTTACAGGTGACATATATGGACATAGATATAACTAATTTTATGGTTATACAATTTTATTTACACTACTCGAACTACTTTAAAAATTAAGCAAGTGTGAATATCAAAGTCAGCAGTCAAAAATCAAAATATCTCTACTTATTTCTCTCATCTAAAACTCATAATCAAATCATTAAATTTCTACCAAAAGCATATCAAGGATCCAACCAAGTCCCAACAAATACAATTTTATCCATATAAATCAAACTACAATTACTGTTTTTAAGTGTGAATATAATCGTTAGCAGTCAAAATATATTTTTATTCACTTGTCTACAATAATCATATCATAAACTTCTACCAAGAGCATATCAAGGATCTGTCCTAGTCCCAAAAAATACAATTGTATTCACATAAATCAAACTATAGAATATCAAAATTAGCCATCAAAATATCTTTACTTATTTCACTTTTCTAAAAACTCATAATCAAATAACTAAAGAGTGGCATAACAAAATCAAGGCAGTGAACAATTCTTACTCATGTAAAACAACTGACACACTCATTAAATCTCAAGAAAAACATAAGTGCCAGGTTTACCTCAACATTTGTACTAGATTGCATAACAAAGTCATTCTGTTTGTATTCGCACATGGTCATCTCTATTTGCAATTCACTCAACACTCTGCCAAGAACAAAAAATAGTTAATACTGAACATGAAAAAGGATATAGATTTTGGTATCTTGAATCATGGGCAAAGCACGACAAAATGACAAGCAAGATGCTGAGGTAAAGCTAAATAAGGAAAAACTAACTCCAGAACAGATAAAATATTGGGCAGCATGTGGGCAAACCACTAGAGACAAAAATTTTAATTTTTCAAGTTTTACAACCAACTTCTACCACGTAAAACATTGAAATACCACTCCTTGAAATATGTGTTATCAGTTATGTAGCATAATTCTTCCACCTGAGGTGCACAAATGTCTTCATATTTTCAACAAGTACGACTATATATTATACTCCCAAGTCAAGAACTGTTGTGGCATCAGATGCAGGTAGAATGATTATACACAGAACATTTTGAATAACAAACTTACGATGTCATCATCATGCAAGCCATACCAAGCAATTGATATCTTTTTCTATCCATGACATTTCCAGAAATATAAGGGTCTTATGAAGTTAACAGTTAGATACAATGTGCCAGGTACAAGTCTGTATTGATCTCCTACTTGTGATTCCAAGTCGATGTCAGATGGAATGGTTCGTTTTGCAGAAATACTTCATTCCCAAGGTCCAGTTTACAAAATCAGACAAATATCAAACATCAATCCTAGATTAAAGACAGAAAAATTCTAAAAACTTTTTATACAAAACCTATGAGTTAATATCCTAAATTAAAATCCCGACTCATATTCGAAACCCAAAACAGAGGAAGAAACAAACATATGTTTTAAGACAACACTAAAAATCCAGAATGGCAATCAAATGAGTAATGACATAAACTCAATAAACCAATCAAATCCCATCCAATTCTCAAACAAATAGTTAACATTCTCGGATTGTTTCTGTGTATGTTAGGGTGCACTCCTCAGTAAGCCCGCAGTAATCGCATCTCGCAAACTCCACCTCGATTTGTCCCGACACCATACTCATAGGCCCGTTAACATGAGGCACTTCAAAACAAGCAACGAGAATGGACAGGTGATAAATCAAATCCATACCTTGTCTTTACGAATGAGCTTGCAACCTTCCAGTGGACCAGTGCTAGAGAAGACCCCTTGAAGAAGAGGTTGTGTAACTTGAGGGTGGATATTGTCATGACGTGTGGCTTGCCTCGCGTGTTTCTTTTGAGTTTGTGATTATTTTGTTTATTTTTTTCCTTTTGTTTTTGGACGTCAGGAAGTATTTTCTACATCTAATATAATTCAATTTCTTTTTACATCTTCACCTACTCAAATATCTCTCTCTCTCTCTCTCTCTCTCTCTCTCTCTCTCTCTCTCATATTGTTTCTTTAATGGAAGAACTCTACGAGCTAGATATTCACTGACGGCAAATCGATTGCTCATGATTCAGTAATCGATAAGTGTTGTATCGTTTGGGTTCCGACAATTGGCGGATGGAGGTCTTGGTGTAAATTAGGGTTTGTGAATAGCTTCTTCGTCTGTTTTACTTCTTTAGCTCTGAACGTTTGATTAATTGAATAGTTAATCAATTCACTTTCGTACTTTTCCTATTTCTGCTTGCTCCTCTCTCTTTTATCTGTGGGCAATGGGTTTTAACCGAAGTATGCAGAAACCCGAATATGTATAGGGTGAAGGACTTGAGCCACATAGTTGTGCCACCTCTGTCGGTTGCCAACGACCTCATGGTTCCATTGCTTTGATATGTCGTTTCTTGGTCGCCGTCGCTCACGACTCATCACTCACTATTGTTAGGCATCCACAACTGTTTTTGCCTGGTTGCAATATTTAGTTGGACAGTGTACAATTTTTTCAATCAGTCAATTTTTTTTAATTATTATTTGTTACTCTTTTAATTTTTTTTTCTGTGCAGAAATTTTGTTGCTCAGAAACCCGTAGTATCCTCTACAGTCTGCACACAGGCACACACTGAATCACCATCATCGTCTCTCCTCCTTTGGACAACCTTTCGTCACTCTCCCGTTTTTGACCCCCTTTGAGGTCCCCGTTCTTCGGCCGTGTCATACGACGTCCTCGATGGCAACGGATTTATCGGAGACCGGCCTTGTAGGTCACCTGAGATTGTGTGACGTGATGGCATACAAGGCTTTTCGCCAACTTCTTCGCTTATATCTATTTGGTGGCGAATTTGATTCACGAATAGATAATTTTAATAGAAAACTTCAGTGTAATATAAGTAATGGGATTAATTTTTACTACCTATCGTATTTTACATATGCTTTTTTTGAACTAATTTCATAAGTTTATTTCAGAATGTTGAGCCATTGATCAACAAGTCATTTTGTTACATGAACAGCCATTTCATATGTTGATTAATTTTCAAATGATTAGTTTCAATGTCCTTAGTTTCCCATCATATATTTTTGTTTTGATAATTTGGTTTTGTTTGACTTATAAATATGGTAGGCCATCGTTATTAGTTTACATTATTGTTTGTGAATCTAATAATTGATATATTTCTTTTGATTTTGGTTAAGTGTTGCCATTGGATTAGGTGTGTTTAAGTGATGCACCAATCATTTCATCTACATTTATCTTGTATGTGCGTAATGTGTATCTGGATAGATTCCGATCGTTGGATTAGATCACAAGATGGAAGATCGAGAGGGAAGTTGTTGAGTCCCTGTCTTACCTGTCATCAGTGTGCCTTTTTGCTTTTCTATAAGTTGCAGCAGTAGGATGGTTATTTGTATAGTCCATGCATAGTTCAATTGGTTAGCTTGGTCTTGATGGTTGTGGATTCTAAGGGAGCATATACAAAACAAACAAAATCTAATGACTACAAATGGATTGAATGTGAGAGTAAAAAGTTTAGCTACATGATCCTTTTAGCAGAAGAACAGAGCCGTGGGTCGGCTGTGCATTGCACAACCAATAATTCCTAGTTGTTTAGAGAAAGGTGAGAAAATAGGCCTTAAGAAAAGAGGAGAACTATGTTTTGTTTTTGCCTTAAGATTTGCCATGTTTTGTTCGTATGTTCGTACGTTGTTCTGACCCTCAAACTTTCATCTTCTATTTTTTGAACTCTTCATATGACTTGAAGTTTTGTTTGTTATCTTTCCATATGTGCAAGAATTATGCAATTACAACTCTTACATAAAAAGTTACGTTTGAAATATGAACACTGCACAAGCAGTTTTCTGTGAAGTTGGCAGCAGAATTGTTGTTTAAGTTTGACTAGTTTTCATTCCTTTAACTTGCTCGAAAGCATTCAAGGTCTTCACAAGAAATATAGGTCTGTCTCTTGACTTTCCACATTATCAAATATCAGTCCAAAATATTTCTTACATCAAATGTTATATTTAAAATAAATTGACTGTGCATAGATGTTTATCCGGTTTTCAGTAGTTTGAGTTTTATGTTTGGAAGTAGTTTCCATCTTCTGATTTCACTCGTAAGTGGTTGATGTTGCATTAATAGTTTTTAGATCTGAGCCTTAGAAATTATCCGAGAACCCTAGACGAGCCTAGAAAAGTCAAGAGAAAAAGTTAGAAGAGTTATTTGCTTTTTTATATGCTTTATCTGTTTTATTTGCCTGCCTTATGTGCTTTTAATTGTCTTAACTGTCTGACTTTCTGTCTGTTAGTCAAAATCACCTTAATAATAAGATAAAATTATTAAATTGTAGATTAAGAGGAGTCAAGCCTCACAAAGATCACATGCATTTGATTCTATCCAGTCAGCATCAGCAGAAAAAGGTTGGGTGTTCATACTATATCTTATTCAGTATAAACGTCAGGTATTATAGTGGAGGTATGTATATGAGTATTTTTGCCTTAGCGTGGGCATTTCAGTACGATCACCCGGTACGGTCGATCAGTATATCGTAATTTCGCTGGGGTGTGTACACATGATCTATACTGAGGCGAGGTCGATCAGCATATCGTAAATCTCGCAGTACGAGCAGCATCTCGTATATACAGCAATAACATCTGCCAGTTAATTCATGTTAATGCTTTTATTATAATATTTGTTTTTATATTGAATAATCGTAATAGTACGGTTCCCACAGTGAGCTAGTTGTTTTGCTCACCCCCCACAATTATCTTTTCAGGTTAAGCAGCTGGCGTTGGACACGAGGGCGATGGTGGTCATGATGTATTATGCTTCCGCAAAGACTTTTACAATTTCATGCTTTTCAAATTATTTATGAGAACTTATTTTGAAACTCTCTCAGTTGTTTTCCAAATGTTTCATTCATGAGATTTTGTTTCAGCAGTAGGCAAGTTAGCAGCTAAGAAGTTAAATCAGCAATGGGATCAGTATTTTCCATACGTACATAAGTTAGCCGCTTAAGTTACAAAGAGAAAAACAATTTCAGTAAAGATAAGAAAGAGTTTTAAGTAAGTACCTGTTTAACAACTCACATAAAGAAAAGCAACGTGTAATTAATGGGAAATAAGCGTTAATTTTTTGTATTATTGATGATTTCACAAGAGTACAAAAAATCGGTTAAGTAAGCACTCGAGATGTTTTTTATAGTCCGTGTACAATGTGCGGAAAAGGATCCCCGTACAGTCATAAATTCTACTATTTATAGTACGGTGATTTTGTCTTTTTGTCCGAGGTAGATCAGATCGTATTTAATGTTGAGCAGCTCCAATAAAACGGCGTGTAATGCAATGAGGAAACATCAATGATTATTCTTTGACTTGATGGTCCAATTAGAAGTGTACAACGCCTCTTGCTTTGGGATTCGATCTCCTTGGATCTCGGTTAAATGGATAATCTTCAGTAAAAACATCTACAAGGTCGGTTTCTAGGTCGGTTTCATCTGTCATTAGTGTGAAGTCGGTCTTGTGGTTTAGGCGATTAGTCGGTTGTCGCTTCAGTTGTTTTTGAAGTTGGTTATCGCTTATTTATTCCCGAGCTAGCTGAGTTCGTCGTCAAAAATAAATTAGAAGGACCATTAACAAAACAAAATAAAATAATCGATCCTTTAATTAATCTTGGCAAATCAAGTCAGTCATCAACAGAGAGACCCCCAACATTGGCAGGTATTTAAGCTTTAGAATAGCTGCTGATGTTTTTAATGTTTCCAGTAATCCCGACTAGATTATTTTCCGACTTCATGATTGCCGACATCTTTTTTTTTTGGTAACCGACATGAAAACACTTGGTATTGTTGCGAATATTTTTATTGACGGGGAAACAATATCGTGTAACGGCTTTGTCGACGTACCAACCCTCAAAAGACGTGTCTGCATTTAATGGGCGTAACGGGCAGAATAATAGGGTGATATGGCGTTTCAAGGTTTGCCCACGTGTATTAATGATTACTGTAACGTTACGCCATTTGATGACACATCCGTTACACACGCCGGTTCCCGATTGTTCAACGGTCATAAATCGCAGACTATAAATGCGAGTCGGTTTTGATTGTGAATAAACTTTTATCTTCGATTTCTGAATCTTAAATCTACTGTTTAATCGCCATCTTTGACATTCTTGAATTTTCTTCTGATTATCACCTCGCAATCATCCTTTTATCTTCTCCGACTTTGGGCTTCGAAACTCTTGGTAAGATTTTTCCCTAACTTTAAATTTTTTATCTGTATTGATCGAAATTTTTCTTCTTCTTTTTTGCGAATCTCGGAGAATGGTTTCGCAAGGCTAAGTTAGCAGCAGTTGTACAGTTTCTGAGGTTAGGATTTTCACCGATGAGGATTTGGAATTGCCTCTAGAATATTATCGGTGGGATCCTTTATTCGTTGAAAGGCTTAATTTGAATAGAGACACAGTTGATGAAGATGAGGAAGTTAAGAAGAATGCTATGTCTCTGGCGGAATATTGGAAACGCCCAACTCGTCGGTGGCCCGAGCCTATTGACAAGAATCGAGGTGAATCGAGCATTTTAACTGATGCTGACATTGTGATTCTGAGAGAGAAAGTTCAGGCCCCCTCAACTGTCAGACTATTTGCTCCTTATCCCAGAGAAAGGATTACTTGTCCTCCACCAGGTTGCGTCGGTGTTTTTGCCGACTCTTTGAGGTCGGGGTTGAGATTGCCTCTGCCGG